TTTTTTTTTTTTTTTTGTTAGTCTCATCTTTTGTGGTTTGTAGGAATGATATTCCAGCCTAATTAACCACAAGAAACGACTGCATGAACAAATAATCATGACATGAGGTATACACCTTGGCTTACTAACATTGGTAAGCTATGTCATGGTAACTGCTCATGTACATGCTTTTACCAAGCAGTAACGGTGAAGTAGCTCATGTTAAGTGAAGTGTAAGCTACCTTCCAGTTTACTGTTGAGGGAGGAACATGGTTGGACAGGGACAATGGAGTAGCTGACATGCTGTAAGTCCACACCCTAACTAACCTTAACAGTAGCTTGTTTGCATGCCCAAACCAAAAACAGTTTCAGTGGAAAAGGTAGGGAAAAACTTTTGCTTTTTTGATTTTTTTTTGCTATGCCAGAGTGTCCTGTCCCCAGAGTATGTCTTGACCTCCAAGCTTCTGCCCTCCATGTCATGGAGCTCAGTTGCTTTCCTCCTGAATTTTTTGTTGCAAGGAGTTACCTTTTCCTCTTGGACTATGCTCCTAAAGCTCAGTTAATTTCATGGTCTGTAAGAAAAAGAACCCAAGGTGGTGGTTGTTCTGAAGATGTTGCAAAGTTCTGTCAATGCTCTCAGGTTTGATTGCTGACAGATTGCATATTCTTACCAGATGACTTTCCAGCCCTCTAAGAAAATTGCAGATTGCTGAGATTTTATGTCATTTTGATATATTTTCCCCCCACAGGTTCTCTCCTTCTGTTTGACTGTACTAAGCCGCCGATTTGAATTTCAAGCTGATGCATTTGCCAAGGAGCTTGGGAAGGCTGAAGACCTGTATTCTGCTTTGATCAAACTAAACAAAGATAATTTAGGATTCCCTGTTTCTGATTGGATATTTTCAATGTGGCATTATTCCCATCCTCCTCTGTTAGAAAGACTTCAAGCCTTGAAGGACTCAAAGCAAGACTGACTGGAATCATGATTGGTTCAGAGACGGTGCTTCCAGCTCAGAAACAAAATTCAGAGCTGCTTGGGGTTTGTTTGGGTTTTTGTATTAGTATTTTTTCCAATTTAAGTCCACCATTACCAGTAGTACCATGTCGTTGTCTTGAATGCAGTTAATCCCTCAAATGGCTATTAAATTTAAGTGAATTTTAAAAGAAAATAACCTGTGGGTCTGAATTTGGAGAATGGACTTATCTGAAGGCCTTTCTCCACTAAATGTGATTTTTGGATTGTAGAGCAGACTTTGGGGAAAGTAACACTCATTGCTCCTGAAGTGCCCACCTCTTAAGATTGTGCAAAGCTTGAATGTGGCTTTGATTCTTTCACAGTATCTTTTGTAAACCCAGCTGTAGCTTTCCTCCCAAGTCGCTGTGAACGGTGGTGCCTCAGTCCTGTACTAGTTGTTGTCAGGGAAGATGAATTGGGTGATTTGACTTCTGCGAAAATAGTTTATCCTAGCCAATCACTGTTCAAATGTTTAAACAAGTGAGCAAGTTGGAATGAAGATGGGGGCTCTTTTCCCTGGATTAAGATCCGTGTCTTCAGTGGATGAAAATGCTACTTTCAGAGATGTAATAAAACTGCCTCCTTCCCTGAATGGGAAATTGGATTGAATTCCAGCTGCAAAAATGTGTGATCTTGTTCTCAATAAAATTATCACTCATGCACCGTAACCAGCAGTCCGGTAGCAGGGCTCTGAGTCAAGCTCCAAGGACTGCTCATTCCCCTTCCTAGTCTGTGGACCATTGAAGTGTTAATAGAGAAGCACCAGTGGGATCTATAGAAGAGGAGCAGAGTGAGGGAAAATTGCCAACTTCTTGCCCTTCCTTTACCTTTTGTAAAAAAAACAACAGAAACAACAGCTTTACATTCATTAGCCCTTGTATTTCCTTCTCACGCTCCCATAATTTCCTCATCAGCTACACAAGTAAGACATACAAGAGGGCAGTTAACCCATTCCAGAGAAAAGGGAGTTAGATGCATGTGGGACCAAATTTGGAAAAAAAGTGGCAGAGCTGCCCACTGCTAGAGCATCAGCAGAGATCTGAAAATGATGGTTTAGGTGAGTGGCTGAAGGGGTGTGTGTGATGGAGGGACAGTTTCAGGATGTGTAAAAGCCCAGTGTGGATCTTTGAGAGTTCTCGCTCCCCTCCCCCCCCCAGCCCTGATGGAACATTGGACAATGTATTATTTCTCAGCATAGTTGTATCATGTAAAAGACAGCCAGGTTGCAATATCCAGAATACACACTGTGGTATTATTTACTTCAGTTAATTGGATGTGCCTAAGATAGGTTTAAATGGGGTGAAGAAGAATCAGGTGGCTAATCCAGAAATGACATTGTACAAAGCAGTCACATGATTTTCCAAATGAAATGTTTGTGAAATCGGAGCATTCTCTTGCCACCTGTTGTAATTTCTTTTTTCTAATTTAAACTACTTGCTGAGAGAGAAAAGGGGGAAATGTTTCCAATTAATTAAAACCAGGACTTTTGTTTAAAGTTCCACATGTGCAAATCAAAATTGAACACCGTAAATGCTCCATATAAAAGTATTATTTGTCTCTACCAGATTCAGTAGATGTGGTAACTTGTTTGGCATATTCTAAAAAGTACAAACAGCTCCATGGTAAGTGAGAAAACTGACTTGAAGGAGCAAAATCTGATGCTGTTGTGTGCCTGATCTCTCAGTTTGTTCTAGTTGCTGTTTTGCTATAAAAAAAAAATGTGTGTGTGTCTTTGAATATGTCGTGCTTCTCTTCAGCACACAATACATAGATTTTTTTAAGCAAGGAAGTTAAACTAAGTTTAAGAATGGTGTGTGTTGTGATTAATATGTTTTAACTTTTTAACATTGCGTTTTTTCTTTGCTTACTTTGAGGTTTTTAGTTTCTGTGATGATTGTTTTGGTTCAATGAAAAAAAAACATTTAAAGCCCAAACAAGAAATGTGTTAAACTTGAAAATTACACTGGTAAAGCAGACTTTGGTACTGAAACAATATCCTGGGTGGCTTTCTTGCTATCAGAACCCTGGCTTTATTCACAGGATGCTTCTGCACTAAGTATAAGTCAAGTGAGAAGCTAAAGCTATGTCTGCAGAACGTGACAGCACTCTTGTAATGTTATTGTTTTAGTACTTGCAATATTCTTTTGGTTTTAAATGCCTTGTTTTGTACTTGTGAAGCAACATGATGCTAGTGTTGTGCGTTAGTCTCATGTTGAGTTAAATGACCACAATAACTCTGTTGTCTTCAAGAAAGCTGGTCATGAAAATTGCCTTTTTACTTCTGCAGCGTTAATGTAGTTAGATGGACTGCGAATGCAAAAGTGGTGTCAGACAACATCAGCCTACTGCTCCTAAAAAGGAGGCAAAGTGCTTGGATGAAAAATCTGTAAGGACTAAATTCTCCAGATAAGTGAATTAAGTCACTTGTGCATAGAATATCCATGGCTTGTGCAGATGTGCAGCCTTAAGTGCATATAGCAAAAAAGAAGAAGGTGTTTTTCCACTCCCCATTTTTTTAACCTCTTGCAGTTATACAGCCAAATATTTAAGACCTTACATGTTCAAAAACATCTCATCCATGTAAATAACCAGTCTGGGTATGTTGTAGCTATAGCTTAAATAAATTAGTCATTAGTTTAACATGTGGAAAGCCTGACTAAGGTCTCTGGTACCTTAGACAGTTTTATCAATAGAACTGGAATTCTCCTGACACGTTTGTGCATGTCCACACACACAGTGGCTGAAAATTAGAAATAAATATTGCCAAATGAAGCAGATCAGCTGTGTCCGGACGTTTCCCAGCCCAGCTGGTCCACTTCATTGGACAAAACGCATGTCATCCACTGTCGTGCAGCATTAATGGGTGGGATAATGGGCAACACGTTCTTCTGGGGTTTGAGGGGCCCTATCCTGCACATCCTGGGAATTCCTGTGCAGCATCAGGTCCCTTTAAGCCCTGGGAGTGCCTGGGCGGTTTGCCCCTCTGGGGCTTTCTTCGGGCAGGAAACCCTGACTTTCTCCAGGTGGGGAGATGCACTCCAGAGATTCCTAGGGACAAGTCTCTGAGAGAGGGGAAGGCTGGCAAGCACTCCCAGGGCTTCACAGGCCCGATCCTGAATGGGAATTCCTGGGGTGCACAGGATCAGGCTCCTGAAGCACCTGCCCAGGGTGACTGGAGAATGCAGACAGCTCCAGGCTGCCCTGGCTCTCCCCTCACAAAGCAAATGGATGTCTACTGCTAAATAGCAATAAATGCATGCTACCTTTGTCACAGTCAGAAATGTTGGGCATTTGTGATGCAACAAGGGGCATAGATGTCTGTTTGCTTGGTGGCGAAAGGAGATGCCTATCTCCCCCACCCCCCGAACAAACCTTAATGTCTGTGTCAGTGGACTAACACCACCTCTGCAAGCAATAATAAGCCCTAAGCCACCAATATAAAGCTAGTGTTGGATTCAGCTTTGCTTCTGTCAGTCAAAGCAGTCCTTCAGCACCAATCCTATACTGCTTTTTGGTAGTTGTTCTGGCAAGTTTTGGACTCTGTTGCCTGCAACCAAGCTACCAAGAAGCCTGCTCCACCCTCTTTTAAGCTCTCAGTTTATTTTGGACACAGCCTCTTTTTCTGTTCAGGTATATTTAGAGTGGACAAAGATGGCTTTTCTGCAAAGGGAGATATGTCCCAAGGCCACAGTGCTCCAGGGTGAAAGGAGCAGGAAGGAGGTACTGGCCCTTCTGCCCCTTCAGGAAAAGGCTGCAAAAGCCCAACTCTGCAGGAATTGTAAGAACACGGATGTGTACAAAGCAGTCACAGAAACAGGCAAGCCAAGGGGTACAGGTATGGGGAGAAGCAATGCCAGGCCAAGGTGAGGGATCTCTGGCAGATGTACTAAGGGGTGATCCTGCAGGGCAGTAAGTTTGGATGCACCATAGTAACTTTCCCTTCTTATAAGGACCTCTGTGCCATTTTTGGTGATCTCCCCAGCACCCTGGTTGTCCTTCTGGAAGCCTTGCAGGAGCTTGAAGAATCTTCCAAGGTCTATGGCAAGAAGGACAGAGATGTGAGGGCAGACTGCACCTTGTCATGCATCCACAGATGCATCACAAGCAGGTCCAAGGAGGTGATCCTCCCCCTCTTTGCGACACTGGTCAGGCCACAGCTAGAGTACTGTGTCCAGTTCTGGGTACTGCACTTCAGAAGGGATATGCACAACATGGAGAGGGGCCAGAGGAGGCCACTCGCATGAGCAGGGCAGGCCCTATGAGGACAGGCTATGGGACCTGAGCCTGTTCAGCCTCCACAAGAGAAGGCTGAGAGGGGATCTGGTGGCTGCCTATAAACTTGCCAAGGGAGACCAGCAGGCAATGGGAAAGCCCCTGTTCCCCCAAGCACTACTGGGAGTAATAAGGAACAATGGCCATAAGTTGAAAGAGTAGGTTCAGGCTGGACATCAGGAGGTGCTACTTCACGGTCAGGGCGGCTAGGAGCTGGAATTAACTTCCAAGCGAAATGTTGCTCACCCCTACCCTGGGGGTCTTCAAAAGGAAGGCTAGACAGTCACCTAGCCAGAGTCGTTTGAGCACAGCATCTTTTCCTGCCATGGCAGGGGGTCAGACTTGATGATCTGCTCAGGTCCCTTCTGACCCTACCAACTATGAAACTATAACCCTGAACTTCTGTTGGACGGCCAAATGTAGTACAGCCGGAGCCCATTCCAATGGACAGCATAGTGAAGGGATCTCTGGTGACAGGAGCAGTCTTTCTTTCCCTCAGTATGTGCTTTCCTTCTCATCATGTCACCTGCTGTTTTGAAAACAGTATGCTTCCCTACATGCAGAGAATAAAGGGATGCTGGGCAGTAAGTGCCACTTTATCTAATGAAGACCTGCCAGGCAGACAAGAGTAAAGCTTTAGAGATCTCAGCTCTGTATAGCACCCACTAATGTTTCAGCTGTGCAGCACTACATTTGTTCAGAAAACATGGCTAGTATGCAGCTTAGAACCCAGGTCAGTGCATCACGGGGTATGGAAGATGGCGTGCAGGCACACTGCATGCTCTGGTGGGCCTAGCCCCAGACACTTCTCGTGTGCTGTGCCGAGGGAGATCCAGTGCTCGATTCCAACCTGTGGCTAGGCGGTCTGGCCAGTTTGCAGAGAGTCTTGCTTCCTTGCACCTGGGACAGCAGCAAGAAAGTGATCTAGGAGGGAACTGATTTATTCTTTGCTTGAGGTTTGCTTGAGACTCCTGTCTGCAGCAGGTGCTTTCTCTGAGCCTTGGTCATTTGTTAGTGAAATACCAGCCAAACCCCTAAGGGACTGCAATGATCATTTTTTATCTGGTCTTGGCAGCCCTTTGTGTGCTGTCCCACATGCCCTCCTCCCCACTCTGACTTGTACATCCTCTTGAACTTTTATGGGCCATACAAGACTCACTGTGCCAGCAGCCACTGTGAATGCTTCTACAGTAGCTTCCCACTCATTCTTCATTCGCTTTGTCTATTTGAACTTTGCAGCAGAAATTATTCCAGTTCTCTTTTCCTATGTGCCACTTTAGTAAATCTAACAAGCCCCCCCCGGCCTCTTCGGCCCTTAAGAGGGACCCATTCAATGGCGGCAGCCGGGCTGGCAGAAATAAGGGAATGCACTTCAGTGGGCTATAAGTGAAGCATGGATGATGTTGAGTTGACAGTGGGCCAAAAATGGAAGGAAAACTTGTTTAGGAAAGCAGTGGGAGAGGAAGACATTTGAGAATAAATTGAATCTCCAAAAAGAGAAGGTAGAGATGGTGTGGGAAACAGGCAAGCATTGTGGCCAGAGGCCTGCACCTATCTACTCCATTTCATGGTGTGGAAAACCCCATTTACAAGGAGTCAGACACCACCACATCCTAGGTGCAAAACAGCAGCACCCTCTTCCCATGTACCTACTACTTGGCACCCCCAGAGAACAAGGAGAGCTGAGTTTGTACACACAAGCACTTGGGTGATGTACTAACATGCATGTTGCACTCCTTCTGCCTCCTTCACCGATGTGTTTGCTTTTCCTTATGTTTACAATATTAATAGGTTTTTTGCCATGTCCAGTGTTTTTGGTGGGTTTTTTTGTGATTTGGTTTTACATTTGCCTGATCTGTCTGGTCTCACTGAAGTGTAGCGCTGGGCTACTGTAACTTTCTACTTCTAATAAATGTGTTGGTTCAAGAATTTCATTCTGAGCTCTCCAAATTTGATAGTCCCATACATGAAAAGGCAGATAAGCACCAGGTCCCTCCATCTTTGACAAGATAATCCTACCTTTTGCAAAAAAAATAGACCTAATCCAAGATACAGCCCTAAAGTGCTCTCTTAAGGCCTCCTTCAGCCAAAAAGCATCTCAATGGGCTTTCGTTGCTGAGATTACCTCTGGCTGTTCAAAGTCAGTGGATACTCTGTTCACCTTCTTTTGCCACCCTTGTGGCAGGAGCTCTTCTTTAGTCTTGCAAGTGTTGTTTCACTGTGTTGTGTTGCAACTAGGGGTGCACCGATTGAGATTTTTGGGTTCAAGACCGATGGCCAATTTTTTTTTTTAAGGTTCCATGTTGGCCAATACCAATCTGATTCTGATATGTAGTCTGGCAGCTCAGAGACCAGCGTCTGACTGGTAAGTCTGGTGTGGGGGGAGGGAAGAGGTGGGGGGTCAGAAGGAGGCCCCCATGGTGAGGGAGGGAGTGGGGCAGAAGCAGGTGCTGCCCAGCCAGGCAGGGCGGGGCACAGGATGAAGCCATGAGCAGCTTGTCTGGGAGGTGTGGGGGGGGTAGCGGCTCCTACCACTGCACACACCCTAGGAGGGCAAGTGCCCCTGGATCTGCGCATGGGGCAAGGCAGGCTGCCATCGCAAGCTAGGGCCAGGGCGGCACTGAGCTCTTCTGCGGCTGGGCTGGGCTGGGCTGGGCTGGAGCAGGCAGTGGTGGCACTGGGAGGGGGCTATGGGGGGGCTGCAGCCACCCCAAAATTTGCTATAGCCTCCCATTGGCGCCATCACCTGCCCTGAGCATGGCCTGGCCCAACACCCCCACTGGGAAGAGCCCAGCCCCAGCCTGCAGTGGCAGCCTGCCCCATACACAGACCCAGGCGCACACCCTCTCCCCCCTCCCCATGCCCTCCTATTATGTGCGCAGTGGCAGGAGCTGACAATGCCTTCCCCACCCCCACCCCCAGACAAGCTGCTTGCAGCTCCGTCCCATGCCCTGCCCTGGCTGAGCACAGCACCTGCCCCAGCCCCACTCCCTCCCTCACCACAGGGGCCTCGATCTGCCCCTCACGCCCCTTCCCTCCCCCCACAACAGACTTACCAGCCAATGCTGCTCTCCAAGCCACCGGGCTGTGCTCCTAGTTGCATGCATGTGCAGCTGGGCATATGCACGGGGCATTTATCAGCCACGTTATTGGCCACATCAGGCAAAAAAAGCTGATTTCCAATGCTGTCAATTTTCCTTATATCAGTGCTGATCTGATATGGAACCGATATATCGGTGCACTGCTAGCTGCAACGTAGCCATGAAGATATTTGGCTTGCTAGAGCTGAGTCATGAGACCTCTCCAGTGCATTGCAAATGGTCAGAGGTTTGCACACAGGGCCAAGCCTATAAGTATGCTGTGGGTCC